TAAAAACTTGGGGTCAGAGGCACAATGAGACAAGAAGAACAATGATCAAATAAGAGATAGGATCACAGGAAGCAAAATGGACAATCTGGATTACATAAAATGTAAAAGTTTATGCACAAACAAAATCAATAGAGCTAAAATTATAAGTTAGTTAAATGGGAAGTTTCTCTGATATGGATCTCATTTCTAAAATAGATGGGGAACTGATTCAAATTTATAAAAATAAGAGTCACTGCCATATTGATAAATGGTCAGAGGCAGCCAGGTGGCACAGTGGGATGGCTTGTTGGACCTGAAGTCAAAAGGATCTGAGTTCAGATTCAACCTTCAGATACTTACTAGCTATCTGACCCAGGCAGGCAAACCCTTTATTCTACTAGTTGAGAACTAAATCTTCAACCGAAACTGCTAAGAACACTGGAAAGCAATTTGGCAAAAATTTAAGTATAGATAGACATAAATCCCACAATGCATGCCAAGAAAAAACTCTAAATGGATACATGAATTAGACATGGAAGGCAACATTATAAATAAATTAGAGAAGCAAGGAAGAAATTACCTTTCAGATCTGTGTATGGGGAAGAGATCATAACATAACTATACAGGGGATAGAAAAAATCAATAAAACAGACAATTTTAATTATATAATATATAAAAGTTTATGCATAAGTAAAACCAATGCATTTAAAATTAGAAAGGAAACCACGACTTGGGGGGGGGGATGTTTGTGGCAAGTTTCTCTGGTAAAGGTGTCATTTACAAGATATAAAAAGAACTAATTTAAATTTATAAGAATAAGAGTCATTTCCTCATTGATAAATGCTCAGAACATATGAATAGGCAGTCAAGCAGTTCTCAAAGGAAGGAATCCAAGTTATCAACAACCATATGAAAAAAAATGCTCTAAATTACCAACAGTTAGAGAAATGCAAATTAAAATAATTCTGAGGTCCAACCTCACATTCATCAAAGATTGGCAAAAATGTCAAAATAGGAAAATGATAAATGTTGGTAGGGGTAGAGGAAAATGCACGTTAACTGGTTCAGCTATTCTGGAAAGCAATCTAGGTATGTAGGGATCAATCTACCAAAGCACACAAAAAACTCATATAGATCCAATAAGAAAATATTCCTTAAAGAAATCAAGAACAACTTAATTAGCTGGAGGAATATTCAGTGCTCATGGCTGGGTCATGCCAATATAATAAAAATGACAGTATTAACAAAGTTTATTTAAAACTCTTAATACTATACCATTTAAATTACAAAAGGGATATTTTATAGAACTTAATAAAATAATTAATTTGCATAAATATGATCAGGAATATCAAGGGAAATGATAAAAAGAGGTAAGGATAGAATATGCTTTATTTCCCTTTGTTGACAGGGTTTAAATTGGTAAGTAGTTCAGGAGAATGCTGTAGACATAACATTCATAATAGTTCAATAAGACATTTGACAAAACATTTCTTAATTTTCTTGGAAAAAAGATGGAGAGATGTGAACTAGGTAGTGGTAGAGTTGTGTGAACTCGGAAGAAGTTGAACTACCTAATGAAGGGTGGTGGTGAATGCAGACCTCGAGAGAGTTATCTGATGGATCATCACAGGCTCTGCACTTAGCTCTGGTCTGAGCAGAATTTATTGTTCATAGATACTTGTTGAATTGTATTGAGTGGCATTGTATTGAGATGGCAAACTTTATCGCATGCATAAATGAAGCAGAGTTGGAAAAGAGAACCATTGCTGGAAATGACATGATTATGATCTAAAACTTAAGAAGTTAGAACAATAGTCTGAATCCAGTATGATGAAATTTAATAGGGGTAAATGTAAAACTCTGTTTCAAAAAGTAACTACAGAAAAACATGTAGTTTTACTGGACTGTGGTGAGCTCAGTATAAGTCAAAGTGTGACTTAGTAGTTAGAAAAGATAGTATAATGTTGGACGGTATTAATAGAAGTGTAATGTTCAGATAAAAGGAATTGGTACACACACATTTCTGTTTTGTACCCTACATCTTTAGAAAAAATATTGACAAGTTAGAGCATTACCAGAGAAGTATAACCACAATGAAGTGAGGAACAACTGTGTATTCTAGGATGGTTGAAGGGACAGTGGATGTATCTTAGCATGACATCTGGGGGTTGTATAAATCTGTAAACTCAGTGTGAGTTAATAGTGTGATGTAACAGCTAAAAAAAGCTAATATGATCCCAGGTTGCTTTGAGAGGCATAGTTTCCTGGAATAAGGAGATTAGTACATGTATACCAGCAGTTTTTATCCTATTTTGTGTCATGTACTCTTCTTAGAATAATGTTTTTAAATGCATAAAATAAAACACAGGGTTTCAAATGATTTCTCTCTTTCCTTCTCCTCTCCCTCTTCTTCTCCCTCTCCTTTTTTAAAAACACAAATGCATGTAAGAACCTCTGCTCCAACAATCTGCCCTCTTCGGATCATCTCTAGAGTATCATTATCCAGTTTTGCATGTCAGAGCAAGAACATCTAAAATATGATGGGAGAGTATCCAGAGGAGAGTGACCAGCATTGCCCCAGAACCTGCTTGAGGCTGTGTCATAAGAGAAGCCATTGAGAATTAGATCTCTTTAGCCTGGAGAAAAAAAGATTTAAAGTAAACCCAGATAGCTCTCAAGTATTTGAAGGACCGTCCTATGAAACAGGCATTGAATTTGTCCTGTTTGGCATCTCAGAGGGCAGAAGTAGAAGCAGCAGGTAGAAATGACAAAGAGGCAAATTCAGATTTGAAGTCAGGAAAACTTGCTAACATATAGAGTTGTCCAAGAATAGGATGGACTGTCTCTGAAGTGGACTCCCTCTCATTGGAATTCTTGGAGCAGAGGATGGATGACTGTGGGTCAGGTATGTCACAGAAAGGATTTCAGAGATAGGTTGGCTGCTCAGGTCCCTTCCAGCTCTGAAGTATTCTTTTTTTTAAATTTTTTTAAATTTTTAATTTTTTTTATTTTTAGGTAATTTGGGTTAACTGACTTGCCCAGGGTCACACAGCTAGCAAGTGTCAAGTGTTTGGTCTGAGGCCGGATTTGAACTCAGGTCCTCCTGACCTCAGGGCCAGTGCTCTATCTATCATGCCACATAGCTGCCCCTGTAGTGGATTTTCTTGATTTATTAATCACTATATGTATGTGTATATATATATATACCACTAATATAATGATAATTGCTTCAAAATTTTCTATTTCTAATAGATTTCTTTCAAAGCATCTCGGTTTGGACTAATTTTATTGATTTCCATTTGGTCTGTGGTAATTTTTCTGTTTCCATTTTCCAGTGTTTAATCATAGAATTTTGGAGCTAGAAGGAACATTAGAGATCATTTAAATCCAACCCTTTTAAGAAGGAAACTGTAATGTATAGATCTATAATGCTTTCATGCAGGAAGTTCAGATGGTTTCTAGCTCTTGGGTCTGGTTCCTGTCCCATATCTCACAGCTCAAGTGAGTTTAACCCCACTAAGCATCTACTACATGCCAGGCATTGTGCAAAGTGTCAGAGGTAAGGAGATAACAGTGAAATAATTCCTGCTCTTAGGAGTTTACATTCTCTTGGAAGAGAAAACACATACAAGTAAAAGTGTGTATATGTATGTGTGTTTGTATCTATATATATGTATACACATTAAATATAAGGAAATTTGGGGAGAAGGGCACTAGCATCTGGGGAGGGAGTGGAGTCAAGAAAGACTTCATATAGAAGGTAGCATTTGACCTGAGTTGGGAGGAAAACAAGGGAGTCTGGGAGACCTAGGTGAACAGGATGTATGTTCAGGGCATAGAGGACATCCAGTGCAAAGGCATGGCTGGGAGGTAAGAGATGGATTGTCATGGATGAAGAACAGCAAAAAGGCCTGTTTGGCTGGACCTTTGTTTAAAATAAGAATTAGAACCTACATCATTTGACCCTCTTCTAGTACTTATTGTACTTTACTAAGTAGTTTACTGTGAAGAACTATTACTGTGTTAAGTTCGTGTTCAATTCTAGCACCCATACTTTTTGTTCCATCACAATCCCTCTAGGTGCCAAACTTGGATTTTCAATATGACCTTACCCTTCTAGGATGAACTCTAGTCAAACCTTCTTGGTGAAACCTTTCCCACACTTCTTTAGCTTCTGTTAATATTATTTTTTTTTTTTGGCAAAAATTATTTTTATTTTGACATCTGAATAAGTGTTGACTCCTCAGGACACGGTCTTTAGCATCTTTTCCAACTTATTCATCAGCTTGTTGCCCTGTGCCTTTCTCAGAAACATAGATGCCATCCAGAAATTTTCTGATGTCCTTGTTTTTGACTGTGGTGGTCTGTTGAATCAGGGCAGCTGAGTTTGATACAAGTTCAATATTATTTCCTTCAAGAATTAACTCATCTTTTTGGGCTTGGGAAATCGCACAAGCAGCACCCGGTCTCATGCACACTCTTTGGATATATTTTTCACCCAAAAAATTTCTGATTTCTACAAGTGAGCCATTCTCTTGAATAACAATATTGATGGGGAAGTGAGCATACACAGACCTCATCTTGTAACGAAAACCCAGGGTAATATCTTTGATCATGTTTTGCACATGACTACAGATTGCGCATACAGTTGCAAGTTCATTTTGATTTCCCCACCACTTGTCTACCTGGATCCTTTTTTTCTTCTTTCTAAGGAGACTGAGCTCAACACTGATATCGTTGAAATACCTACAGAGGATTCCTCTGGGCCCCTTCACAAGAACTGTCCGACCCTTAAGAGAGATGTCAACATTTTCTGGGATGTCGAGTCTGGTTGTTTAGAATGGTCTTCATTCTGGTAGTGAACGGGGCCAAAAAGATTAATTTTATTTTTATTTGTCTCAAAAGCACTCATTTGTGTCCATTGATACCATACATATTTGAATTAAAATGGACTTATATATGAATCTAGTATTCGTGGTTTGTAGTTTTCAGCATTTAAAAATGTCAATTTGTCCCAACAGGTGAAGCCAAGAATTTATTGCCGTATCCTGGACCCAACAAAATGAGAGATTGTTTCTGCACCATAAATTTGGACCAAGAAGAAGTTTTTCGTACTCAGGTTGTTGAAAAGTCATTAAGGTTAGTAGAAAACTTGGTAAATAATGTGAGATATATATGAAATGTAAACCTGCCATGTAATCCCAAATGTAAATATAACTAAAAATATCAAGTAGTTTAGCAGACTTCAAACTCAGCATGAATCAGCAGTGTGCTGTGGTGTCTCAGAAAATTATCATTATCTTAGGCTGCATTAAAAGAGTGATTATGTGCAAGATTAGGGAGGTGATCAGACCTCATCTTTTAGTATTATATTCCCTTTTGGATCCCTGTTTCAGGAAGGACTTGGTTAAGCTTGGTTAAGTTTCCAAAGGAGGACAGTCAGGATAGTGAAGGGCTTTGAGATCATGCCATAGGGTTGAAGGATTATCCGGCTTGGAAACAGGAAGACTGGGGAGGGAGTAAGGCTGTTGTCAGAGTGCATTCTGCCTTCAAGTATTTGGAGGATTCTGAAATATTGGAAGGGTAATTCAACCATTTCTACTTAACCGCTAAGTCAGAACTAAGAGCACTGTTTAGAAATCACAAAGAAGAAAATTTAGATGTGATATAAAGAAAAACTTCCTAACAATTATTTTTGTTCAGTTGTTTCATTTGTATTCAACTCTTTATGGCCAAATTTGGGGTTGACAGAGATACTGAAGTGGTTTGCCATTCCTTCTCCAGCTCATTTTATAGATGAGGAACCGAGGCAAACAGGATTAAGTGACTTACTCAGGGTCACACAGCTAGTAAGTGTCTGAGGTAGGATCTGAACTCAGGAAGATGAGTCTTTCTGACTCCACGCTGGTCACTCTATCCACTGTACCACCTATCCAGAAGTGGAATGATCTCTTAGGATGTAGCAGATTCCTTCAGATTAAGAGGTCTTCAAAAGCAATGGCTAGGTGACCCCTTCTAGCCATTGATTGTTTAGGTATGGGTTGGACTGGTTGGCTTCTGAAAGTTCCCTCATTAGAAACTTTTTAAAAATTTTCACATTCATTTTATCTAAAAATCAAGTAAAATAATTCTTTAGGAAACATTTTATAAATCACTTAATTTAGCACTAACCTTACCAGTGAATGAACTTCTCTAAAATAAATTGCATCCCATTTGTCAATGTGTTCCATTACTTGAGCACACTAATATACATTAATAAATGCTATTAGTTCCTTAAATTTAGATGGATAATTTCCATCAATTCCATCTGCTTTTCTATAGCAGTGGCTGTAGAGATGAACAAAATTGTGTTAGAAGACCCCAGGAACCTCTCTAACAATTGTAGTTAACATTGGTTTCAGTCTCAGAAATAGGGTGCTTCTTGACCATTGGACTAGATTGTCTTCTGACCCAGTGAGTTCCATGTCCTTGGTGTGGGGTTTGAGTCGATGCTGGATTACGCTTTGTCAGGAATGTTTCAGACAATTTAGATTCAGTACTTCTGATTCTCAAGGTGGATACTGTGACCAATTATTGCACACTCATCCTCAAGAGTCTCTGCTGCCTTTTGAAAGGCTGTTTGCAGTAACTCCTGGGAGATCGATTTCTGGTTTACCTTTGTGGTTGTATGCTTGTTCTTCTTTGTTCCCTTTTTCCTTCATAAGTAGCAGAGCCAGTCCTTGGGGAAGGAAGGCAGCCAGCTGCGTGGGTGCAATATGCAGAGGATGCAATATGCAACACTTTCTTAAAATGAATTTTGTACATGTGCATTGTTTCATGCCAAGATGTTCTGCTCTACCTAGCACAGGTTTATTTGGTGCTAGGTCAGGTTGCACGTGTTGTGATGACGGCTCACAGCTTCTAGTGGAGAGGGACACACCCTGGGGACGATTTCCAGTCCTGTGTCTGGTGCCCAGATGCCTTGGCCCAGCTCTTCTGGGTTTGTTCTTGCTCTATTATTTATAGCAGCTTTGTGTCCTCCTTACAACATTGCTTGATGTCTTTGAACTGTAGTGTCTTATCTATAAAACGGAGATTATAATACATTTCCTACTCCACAGTGTTGTTGTGAGGCTCAAATAAAGTAATTTATATAATGTGTTTTGTAATCCTAACACATAAATGTGAGTTGTCCCTCCACTTTTGGAATGTCCTTATGCCTCTGGTTTTAGTTTTAACTGATTTCTTCAAAGGAAGACTAAAACGTAATTAATTGTGACCCTAGTACCTTGATTATTGAATGCATTTCAGATACAGTTACTACTTCCACTATCAATATATTACCGGTCCATTACAGATGTGAAAATTGAGGCACCAAGGAAAGGCTGAATATTCTATGCAGTATGATTAAGGAAGGAAGTCAAAGTGAAGAGTTGAGATTAGGATTTAGAGTTATTTAAGTTTTATTCTGTTACTTAGCCTCCACTGATTTCAGTGATACCAAACAGTAATCTTAGTGACAGCCAAAACCTATGACACCAAGATAACTAGTGTAATGATATTTAATATGTAGTCTTGCAAATAAATACTTAGAATCAACCAGTTCACTACTGAAGACACACAGCATCAAAATATTTTGCCTTTTTAGGAAGGCTACAGGTTACAAGTTGAGTGAAGCCAGCTTTCTAATCACCTGTCATAAATTGTTGCTTGTTTTACTGCTCTGGATGAGTGATTAAACTTTCAGACTTTCATCAAATTTGCCATAGAGAATCCCATTGCATCTGGCACAGATGCTTCATGGTAAGTTCTTTTATAGTAGTCTCAGAGCCTTGTGGCTTTTTGTTGTTTTAATGTTTTTTGTAGACTGATGAATGAAGTGAAAATTTACATGTGATTTGATTTTTGCCTTTTAGCTGTTTTTACAGATAGTTCTGTTTATAGATTTTACAAATGAGGAATGTAGTTCGGAAGAATTTGGTTGCTTTTTGACAGTCTAATTGAAAGGAATTAATTTTGAGTACATTTGGAGTAAAAATGCCTTGACTTTTTTTTTTGATCCATTGAAATAGCAAAAACTGAAAGGTTAGAGCAAAAATAACAGAAACAAATCTCCATAAGAATTCTGTACTCAAGTTTTAGATTTCTCTCTGAGCTAATGTAGTGCAGTATTCTGAAGACATGACATTCATCTTTGGCACATGTAAGTAACATTAGATTTTAGGCTTTAAAATTTTTAAATGTACTTCCAGGAAAGAAGGAACCTTGTCAGAAATACAAGTTTTAAAGTCACATATTTTCTCCAGAAACATTTTAGCATAATGAGAGTTTTGTTGGTTTAAAGATCAGGAGTTAAATTCCTCTTGCTTATACTTTGACTTTTTTTTTTTTTTTTGGCACATAGCATTCATTACAATCCAACTTTGATTTCTTGAGATATGTTGACTTCATATTCCTCACTTTGGGGTAAATTATAAGGTCAGCAGTGTTTTCTTCACTTGGGTTTCTAGGACTTTTCAGAGGGAGCATAGCCCCAGAAAGCCAAAGTGATCATCTGTTCATAAAACCACTGGAATTCTCTGTGGGAATCTGAGGGACCTAGGTCCTCTCAGAACATAAGAGGAAACCTGGTTTGGTCCAGGATCTGTTAGAAAAAGATTGTTACATCATTTGTTTTACTACGCATGATGTTGCTTTGTCGTGGTCAGAACTTTTCCTTACAGACTGTATTCCTTTTCTCTCTAGCCCATTTTATAGTGAAGAGTTTTACTTTGAGATTCCAAGAACTTTCCAGTATTTGTCTTTCTACATTTATGATAAGAGTGTTTTACAAAGAGATCTTCGAATAGGTAAGTACTATTGATAGTCATCATTTGTCATACATATGTGTTTTTATTTACACATCCAATCATTCTTCTAAGAACTATGGTGATAGTTATCGAATATTAAATTTTCTTTTTCTTTTCCTATAGACAAAGATGATAATGATATTGATCCACTCTTAGGAAAGTCTATGCTTTTGAGTTTTCCCCCCACTCTTTGATGATATATTTGCACTGATGGGAGAGGGGAAAGAGTGCTGACTAGAGTCAGAGGACCTGGGTTCAAATCCCACCTGACACATAGGACCTGTGTGACCTGGGCAAGTCACTTAACATCCCTGAGCATTAGTTTCTTCATCTGGAAAATAAGGAATTGGCCTTGATAGTCTCTGAGGTCGTTTCTGCCCTTGACCTAGGCTCCTATGGTCATTCTGCCTGGTTCTCACCAGAACAAGTTCACATATTTGACAAGACACCTTGCTGAGGTCAGCAATGGGACATACTGCGACCATGAAACAGGTCAGAGCTAACTGGCTTATGTGGAGATTGAGCCCATTCTCTTTGTCCTCATTACATGGATCTGTTAGCTACCTAGGTGTTCCCTGAACTTCACAACTTGTATGTCCATATAAGCCATTCCCCAGGCCTGGAATGGTCAGTCTCTTTCCTCAGAATCCCTGTATTTCTTCAAAACTCACATTAGGGGCCATTTCTTATATGAAGCCTTTACTAATTCCCCCCCTCCTCAGATTACTTTGTATGCACTTCATGTACCTATTACACCCTTTCAGTATGATGGAAACTCCTGGAAGCCAGGGAGTTTTTCCTTTTTCAAGCCCTAGTTTCTATGACGTGGTAAGCACTTAATACTTGCTTCTTTGTATTTAAAATAGCCACCACCTGTACTCATCTTTCTTCTTCTCTCCGCCCCACTGGCTTCTTCCTTCTTTCATATTTAGTTCTTTTCATTCATCTCTTGAAACAGAAACATGTCTTTATTCTGTTCTTCTGATAACAACCATATCCTTAAAATCCTAAGTCTGGGAATCTGTACTTGTTTCCTTTATATCTTGTGTACTCATTCTCCTTTTAACTTCTTACACCTTAATTTACAATCTATAGAAGCTTCTTTCTTCATGGGTCCTAGTGGTCTCCTTGCCAATTCCGTTGATGTTTTCTTAGTCCACGTAGTCCTTCACTTCTGTAGCTTTTGAAGACAGAAGATGGGAAAGAAAGATGGTTATGTGGCACTTTGCAAAGTCTTTTTCTCCTTTGATCACTCCTCTGTGTCATTTGCAGATTTTTCTACTTCCTTCAGATTCCTAGTAGTGATTCTTCCTCCCCCATAGGCTTTGTCTTTGAACTTTATATACAGTAATTCCCTTGGTGAGGTCATCTATTCCCATGACTTTCAACTGTCACCTTTCTGTGAATGACTAAAATCTTTATCATAATATTCCAACCATGTTCTAGTTCCTTATTCCTTCACCAACATTTTTTTTTTTAAGCTTTTGTTTTTTGGCTTTAAAATTTTTTTTATTATTTTTTTCAACATTGACTTTTATAAGCTTTTGAGTTCCAAATTTTTCTCCCTCTCTCCCCTCTCCCCTCCCCAAGATAGTAAGTAATCTGATATAGGTTATACGTGCACAATTATATTAAACACATTTCCACATTAGTCGTGTTGTAAAAGAAGAATCAGAACAAAAGGGAAAAACCACAAGAAAGAAAAAAAAAGTTTTAAAAGGTGAAAATAGTGTGCTTCCATTTGCATTCAGACTCCATAGTTCTTTCTCTGGATGTGGATAATATTTTCCATCATGAGTCTTTTGGAGTTGTTTTTGTATACAATTTGTCATTGTATTGCTGAGGAGAGCCAAGTCTAGCAAAGTTGATCATCACACAATGCTGCTGTTACTGTGTACAGTGTTCTCTTGGTTCTGCTCACTTCACTCAGCGTCAGTCTGCTCATCATTTCTTCCTTTTTTTTTTTTCAGCCAGAGACAAGGTTGATTAAAGATCTGCCGTATTGGCCAAACTCTTAAGGAATCTGATCATTTCTGAGCTGTTGGCTAGGTTCTTAAGGAATCTGAGTCCTTCACCAACGTTCTTAATCCCATTTTCTCTTCAGATCTCTAATTCTTTTCTCTAGGATTTTAAAAAAATGTTCCCTCCTTTTTGACCTTGCCTTCTTTCTGCTGTCCAAAATGCTCAACTTTCCCTACCCCTTCAAAAGCCTCCCCTGAACGGTCTCACCCTTCAGAGACATCACCTTGTGTTTTGCCTCGCCTTGATTACCGTAACACAACTGCCAAGGGTGTGATTGCTTTGTTATCTCCTTCCTCGCAGCTGCTCACTCAGCTCCCTGCAACCTGACTTCCTCCCCACCATTATTGAAAACGTCTGCTCCCACGTTAGCAGGAACTTAGTTGCCAAGTTTAGCAGTCCGCTGTTAAGCCGGGCCTTTCCGAGGCGCTTGAAGCTGCTGTTTGGGGGCCCACCTGATGGGCTCTTCTTCCCTCGGCTCTCAGAGTGCTGCTGTCATGGTTCTTTCCCCCTTCCCAATTCTTTTCAGGTTTCTTGCCTTTTTCCTTTTTCTTCGAGGCTTTTCCCATGACCCTTTTACTGCACCTTCACTATACCTTCTTCCTTGGTGATATCCCTTGCCTGATCGTAATTATCACCATTAAGTCGATCAATCGATTATCAATCAGTAAACATTTATTAAAAACCTACAACATGCCAGGCACTATGCTAAGCACTGGGGATAGAAAAAGAGGCCAAAGACCCTGCTCTCAAGGATCTCACAGTCAAATAAGGGAAATAACATACAAACAAATATATGCAAAGCAAGTTATAGACAGGATAAATAGGAAGTAATTATCAGAGGGAAGGGACTGGAATTAAGAGGGGTTGGGGAAGGCTTCCTGTACAAGATGGGATTTTAGTTGGAATTTGGAAGAAGCCAGGGAAGTCAGTTGGAGCAGAGGAGAGAGAGTATTCCAGGCAAGGGGGAATTCCAGCCAGAGAGAATGCATAGCACCGAGAGATGGAGTTTCTGGTTTGCAGAGCTGCCAGGAGGCCGGTGTCATTGGATTGAAGAGTATGTGTTGTGAGGAGAGAGGTGTAAAAAGACTGGGAAGTTAGGAGGCGGGGGTAGGTTTTGAAGGGCTTCGACTCTAAACTCTGTCTCCATCCTTGACCTCTCTTCCTGAGCTCTAAATCTAAATTTCCAGCTTACCATGTAGGTAACTTACCATTAGCTTCATCAGACTGCTCCACTGATGCTTCATACTCATCAGGTCTAAAACTTAATTTTTTCTTCCAATCATCCACCAAAGCTCCCACTTCTCTCAGCTTTCCAATATCTTATTAGTAGAACATCATTTTCCTCTCCACCCAGACATAAAATTTCAAGAATCATTTATTCTTTCCTTTCCTTCACCATCTATACTCAACCAGTTACCAGGGGCTGCTGATTATTTAACTATTGTCTTTCAAGCCTTTGCCCTCTCCTCTCATTCCCACTGTTACCTTTTGTTTAGGCCTTCACTCTGTCTTGCCATTAGTATGGTAATGTCTCCTCCTCTAGTCTCTTCCCCTTTGCAAATTATTCTTTACAGTACTGCTAAAATAACCTTCCTCCTCTTGTTTAAGTATGTATCAGTGTGGCCTAATGGATAAAATGCTTGAACTGGGGAGTCACAAAGACATAGGTGTATGAATTCTGTTCCCACCTTTCAGTTGCTGTGGGACCAAATGCAAATAATACCTATAATACACAAGATAATATGTGTAAAGCTTATGTAAGATAATATATATGTAAAATGATTTGCAGTTCTTAAAGTGCTATATAAATGTTAACTCTTATTATTACTCCTTGCCCCTAAATCTTTAGTGGTTCCACCTGCAACTTGACCATAAAAAACTACTATAGTGATGGGGAAAATCAAGACAGAAATGCAGAAGAAGACAATTTTTTTTTTTAAAAATTAATTAATTTTTAATTTTCAGCAATCATTGCCATAAGCTTTTGAGTTTTAAATTTTCTTCCCCTCCTTCCCACCTCCCTCCCCAAGAGAGCGTGAAATCTGATATAGGCTCTACATATACATTCCTATTAAACATATTTTCATATTAGTCATATTGTAAAGAAGAATTAGAACCAATAGGAGGAACCACAAGAAAGAAGAAACAAAACAAAAGAGAAGAAAAAAAAGAGCAAATAGTATGCTTTGATCTGTATTCAAACTCCATAGTTCTTTCTCTGGATGTGGATGGCATTTTCCATCATGAGACTTTTGGAGATCTTAGATCTTTGCATTGCTGAGAAGAGCTAAATCTATCAGAGTTAGTCATCACACAACATGGCGGTTACTGTGTACAACATTCTCTCACTTCACTCAGCATCAGTCTGTATAAGTCTTTCCAAGTTTTTCTGAGGTCTACTTGCTCATCATTTCTTATAGCACAATAGTATTCTGTTACATTCATATACCACAACTTGTTCGGCCTTTCCCAAATTGATGGGCATCCCCTCAATTCCCAATTCTTTGCCACCACAGAAAGAGCTGCTATAAATATTTTTGTACATGTGGGTCCTTTTTTATGATCTCTGTGGGATATAGCCCTAGAAAGGCTATTTTATAGCCTTTTGGGCATAGTTCCAAATCATTCTCCAGAATGGTTAGATCAGTTCACAACTCCACCAACAATGCATTGGTGTTCCAATTTCCCCACATCTTCTCCAACATTTATCATTTTCTTGTTTAAGACAATAATGTTAAAAAAAAGGTTAAATAATGTTATTATTTTAAGACAATGATGTTAAAAAAAAAACCTACAAGCAAATCCTCAAATGAAATTGCAGATTGGCCACAAGCCTAACAAGAATTCCTAGAAGCGCTAAAGAGAGCAAAAAATATTTAATTTAAAAAAATCATATAAGAATGGTAGAGGAAAACTAGGAGAAAGAAATGAGGGCAATGCAAAATAATTGTGAAAGGAGAATGAACAGCTTGGTTTAA